AGAGAGAACAAAACGGCACTAGTACGACGATACGGGCAATGTAGGCCGGTATGGGCCTGCTTTCTGCTTTCGCCTAAAAATCGAAGGTTCCGATGCTTTGCGTGCCATTGTTCGAGTTTCAAATGTAGTTCAGCCTCCACCATCATCTACCGGACCGTCTAACGCATTTATGGGGTTATAGCATCAACTTATCGCGAACGTGCCTTTAATTTCCGGACAACCTAATGATCGTGATTTCAGTACCTCGAACTGAAACCATCACTCGTTCAAAATTTCACATTTGGTCTACTGGCGATGCTCGCTGTCACAGTTATAATGATACCTGACGCCAGAGCAGCGACGGCGGTGGTTCTATGCATTGCGAGCGTAAACACAGGTCAGCTCTTAGTTCTCTTTCTACATATAGTCAAGTGAAGTTTTGAAATGACGAGAAATATTTTTAGGAGTGATGGGATTCATGGGCATCATTGGGGGCGTCAATGTCCGACAGATGGTATTCTATGAATTACGCGTGGTTACTCAAGCTTACATAGGAAATAACAAAGGAGAAAGTGATATTAGGTGACCGGACAAGTTGCTGCGTCACATTTCTTTTCGAACTAGGCCTTTCTTTTATAGAGGCGAATGTAAAAAAAAGAAATCAAATTGTACAGCAATGTAGCTGCGGGGTCCTTGCCACTGTTTGAGCACCTCATGGATGCCATCGCTTCACTATGCAGGGAGACACGACGCAAAGTTGGACACCATCTCAACTTCGACTTGAACTTGGGTTATGGAGGTTTTCTCGTCCGCATAACGATCGATTACGGAAGGCAACTTGCTATTAGAAGGGGCGATGTCTGGGTACACATAAGTGGAAGGGCAGAGAGATCAAGCTCCATTGCATGAGGTACGGCTCGAACTTTTTTGGACCAAGTGCAAGAGAGTGCAAGTGCGTTGCACTCTCTTGGTGAGGGCCGGCTGTGCGGACAAATTTTTCCCTCTGATCCACGATACGCCTTAGATCTCGTAGCTGCTTTGCGTACGCCTTGACCAAGGAAGCAGCTTCTTCATCCAGTGGTTCCCCACCCATACTCCCTCAAGCTGAGTTTGCAGGTAACCCAAACCTCACTTCGTCATCAAAACTGTAGGCTCCCTAGGCTCCCGCCTTGAAGCGTCACTGTCGTGGTAAGGTTGCTCGATGATTGGGGGCATCGTGCTTATTCAGCTCCATCAATTTGGCATCTGCAGCTAACACGCTGGCGTCAGGGTGGTAGGTGAAATAGTTTGTGGAAGTTGTTGGATGGGTCGGGGCTGATGGTAGCGGATAAAATCCTTGTGCATATTGCAGAAGAAGGAGCAAGAGGCAAGCGAGTGGTACTAACAGAGAGACCACTCCTTGTTGTATAAGAGCTTACATTACCGGTTACCCCTCTTGCTAATGAGCAAGTAATTTGAGTTCGAAAATAAGTGACAAAACTTTCCCGCCAACCTAATACAACTCTTTGCGTTGGTTGACCTCTCTGGAAGGACTACTGCATTGCATTTCTGCTAAATCCTAAAGCCGAAGCGGTATTCGAGTGTATTCTGGGCCTGATATGCCTGGAATTCCTGGCCGTGTCGTCTCGTAGAACGATATTACGTGGATTTGATATGTTTGTCATGAACTCCTGTTCTCATGACAGGTGTTAATGGCCGCAGGCGGAGTACTGATAGGTTGCTCGCTGCGACCCCATTAACGAGGGATGACGTCTCGTCTTGAAATTCGCTCTTGCTCCCACCCGCCAGGTTTTGAGTCCCTCTTGGTGACTGGCTTATTTGTCTGGACCCGGATAAGGAGATTTAAAGCTCATCTCACAACGGCTGTGGTGGTCCAAGTACATAGTCATTTACCGCTGTGAATCCGAATAGAAATCCAAAATTCAGTGACGAACGTTGAGTCACTGAGCGTTGGCCATGCCTTTTTTCGGATTTATCCGTTGAACGAACGCAAAAGTGAAAAGATGCAAAAAGTAGCGGAACTGCTGCCATCGCTGTTATGCACTGTTAGCTCACTGACTGACTTCACTTAAATCTCTCTGTTCGCTCAAGAAAACAAAGAAGGTGTTCATCACGCACTGAACCTTCACCTCCCGTGCTTAAGAGGAGTAGATGAGCCAAGGCAAACTTTGGGGGTATTGTCCCGTCAAAACCGCAGTCCACCAACTAGTTGTAGAGCCGGGCTACAGAGACAACTAGAGAGTAGACCTGTGTTCACCGATCACCTGCGCACAGGTGGAGTAACCGCACCAAAGCGGGATCAGAGTTTCTCAGAAGCTCCGTTGTGAGAAGTGATGTCATGG